TATACAGAATAAAGCAACACTGCATTACGACATAGTAATTGGATGTTCTTTTACCTTCTCCAATGAACTTCTGTACAAGTTCAGATCCTGACACACGAATAAATGTGCAATCTGTGTGATGAGCAACTGCACGGGCCAGTAGGGTCTTCCCAGTACCAGGTGGGCCATAAAGCAGCACTCCCTGCAAGAAAAACAGAAGAGTAAAGAATTATAAATAAATAAGTGGGCAACAATGAATCTCATCATTTCAGGCTGAAGAACAAACCTTGGGCTGAGCGATCCCCAGGGCCTCAAAAAGCTCTGGGTGTTTGACAGGCAGCTCAATGACTTCCTTGATTTCTTTGATTTGCTTATCCAAGCCGCCAATCATTTCGTAGGTGGAGTCTGGAACTTTCTCCACCATCATCAGTGACACCAATGGGTCCACCTTGTTGGGCAGAATCTTATGAAGGGTGTAACTGTCATTCCTCAAAGCAACTCTGCAATTTGGTGTAACCTATGGAGAGCTTGGGGTCAGTAATGAAGTAAAATGTGTTACCATAGCATACCTCTTTCCTCTCTTAACCACTCACATCATTGATGTCAATATTCTTATCAATATCCACCACAAACTTCCCTTCTGGATGGACCTAGAAGAAGACAGAATAGGAGTTATATGAATAGTCTACATGGCAAAGGTACAACATTAGACTGGGAAGATTAGACTTCTTACCTTGACCAGCACCTTCTTCTTGTCCATTGCTCTGACCACCTCGCCGACATAGGAGCCCTGTTCCTGAAGCAACTGCAGCTCTTCACGCAGAAGCCGCACTGAAGAGAGTGCATAAAAGTAGTTTACAAATTGACACGCCTTAATGTCAGCAAATCTAACATATGTTCTTGAGTTGGCCCTTCATACTTAAATATATGGAAGTGCAAATTCATGCAGATTTTTGGAATCAGAGCAAAGTTTCACCAACCAGGACCTTTAAGGCCCCAGGACAAAATTATTCCGTTATCACCCAGTAAAAGAGGCACAAGCGGTAAATTAGGTTTTGAAGACCAATAGCTAATCAGCTCCAAAATTAATCAGCTTTTCCTCAATCGTGTTAAGCATGCCATACACCTTTGGATGATCTGCAGACTTTCTCCGGTCAGATGGAAAAAGTGCAACAGATTCCTCCATCTACGCTAAACTGTGTGGATGGAGGAATCTCCCACTGGGCCAAGCTTCAGTATCTTGCTTGTCGGCCCCGCTGGCTCACAAAATAACTGAAAAATGCCTGCAACCAATCAGATTGTTCAGGTATTTTCACAGCCAGCGGGGCCGACAAGCAAGATACTGAAGCTTGGCCCAGCGGGAGATTCCTCCATCCAAACAGTTAAGTGTAGATGGAGGAATATGTTGCACTTTTTCCATCTGACCGCAGAAAATCTGCAAACAATCTATAGGTGTATCCTCCTGCTATAGATGTATGCTCCTTAACGGTGCCGGCATCCAATCAGATTGTTCAGGTATTTTGACAGCCAGCGGGGCTGACTGGCAAGATACTGAAGCTACCTATGTATACAAAAAAAAGAGCTCCTATACAGCAAATTGGCTTAGTGGTTAGCACTTCTGCCTTGCAGCACTGGGGTTCCCAGTTAAAATCCCAGCCACATACTATCTGCACAGAGTTTGCATGTTCTCCCTGTGCTTGTAAGGGTTCTTCCCACACTCCAAAAGACAAGCTGGTAGGTAAATTGGCCCTAGTGTGTATGCATGCAAGATTGGGACTTTGAGGGCAGGGACTGATGTGAATGTCCAGTTTCTAAATCACTGCGTAGATTGTTGGTGCTATATAAAATACCTGTAATAAGAATATTAAAAAATTGTGTTTACCTTTAGCATTCAACTCATTTCTTTGAGCTTGAAGACGTCTTAAATTCTGACTCTTTTCATTGACAACCAACTAGAAAAAGAATATAAAATTATAAACACGCTGCATAAAAATGAAACGGTATTAGACACAATGTGATAGCTAACCGAACCCTGATAATACCGGCCAGTGGTATTTAATGTAATGGATCTACAAAGCACCAGACTGTCTACTATGCAGCAAAACAAAAGTTCCACAGCACTGATGGTTAACTAGATCTACAAATAGGGATGAGCTTGGGATCAAACCAAGCCTAAGCTCATCTGAACCCAGGAGGAAACAATCAGCGCCGGCCCCGTCAGCTGCGGCCAGGCATTACCACAAAGGGGTGGGGTGCTGCTGAGATCTCTGACTGTATAAGGCAGAGGTAATCAAACATCCCATGAGGCATTGCAAGACTTTAGAGCCAAAGGTATGACTCCGAGAGGCAGATGCATAATGAGATGTGTAATTTCACCCCACCTGGAGGGCCAAAATGTGGCTGCCCCTGCAATAAGGTTTACAGACATCTGTGGGACAGAGAATGTCGCGGCTGTACAATGTATCTACCGCCCCCTTTCTGGCCAGAGTGTCACAGGTTGCTAAGAGACGGTGAGGAGATGCGTAAGGGCCATGCACATCTCCCCACCCAGCTCTCAGCAACCTGGGACACACTGGCTGGCATCCTGCTCAGCTCCTGGCAAGCAGTGAGGTCATTGGTTGCCAGATGATGCAGAGGCCATCATATCCTCAACACCTGTAAACCAAGCGTCAACCGCAGATTACTTTTCAGAGGGATAGAGAATGATGGGGTCAACACTGACAGCTTTCTTCCAGTGTCTGATAAGCTCTGGTGCAGTCCAACCCTGAGTTCATCCCTACCTACAAAACACAACTTCCAGATAATACTTTCCCTCAGGCATTGTGCTTTGTGTCATTTCCCTTTACCAAACTTATCTAGCTTATGCACAATGACACTGTCAGGTGACATCCAAATACAAACAAAGAGCAAAGGAAGTGATTTATGCCTCTTCTACAACCTCTTAGAAAGATTCCTTACCTTCTAATACATAGGAAGGCAACTCAGGCCCTCCAGCTGTTGTGGAACTACAAGTGCCATGAGGCATTGCAAGACTGGCAGCCACAGTCATGACTCCCAGAAGCAGAGGCATATTGGAATTTGTAGTCCGAGTTGCCCACCCCCTGCTTTAAGACAACACAATCAAATTGGAAAGCCTTACCTGGAGATCCTCGATTTTCGACAAATAATACTGCCGTAAGCCAGTGCCCCCACGTGACTCGTCCATATCCATCTGTTACAGAGAGAGAGTGAGAGAGAGAGCAAGAGCGAGTCACAAGGTCAGAATGAAGCTGTGTATATGGAAACTTTGTGCACAATTCTGGTAACCTACATTTGGATGAAATATAAAACTAAAGGATGTTCTATAATGACAAGAGCACATCGCTGACTTCTTAATCAGCACACGGGGAACAGAAATAAAAAGACAATTTATTTACATTTTACTAAACGTTTATAAAATAATATGCAGGAAGCAAAAATAATCATCAATACGCTTTCAAAGTTCACATCTCCTCAGTGTATTCATTTGTGTTCCAAAACTCAGGACTAATGCTGGCCATATACTGTACGAATTCTGGCTGGTTCTTGATGAAGCGGCCGAAATTTGCACAGTGGGTGTTGCTTTTGGCCGGCATCCCTCGATCAGCTGATCAAAGGAGCCAATAGGAAAATCTTCGAATGAACAGAGATGTCAGCCAATGAGCTGCCGCTCTCTGAGCATTCTGACAGCAGCCACAACGAGGACAGTGGGAGATTCCTGGATCGATGCTTGTAAGCGTTAATGGAGGAATCTGTAATATTTTCTTTGATCAGCCCGCTGGTTGAATGAAGAAAATATTACAGTGTATGGGCAGCTTTAGAGACAGCTCGATATTCAGCTGAATTCTGCTAATTCAGCCAAAACTGAAGCATTATGGCCCCACATAATGGAGGCCATGGCCATGATAGCACCACGAAATTCAGGATGAAAATGATCAGCCAAACAGTAACTACAACCAATCAGATGCAGTCACTCTTTAGGCAGCCATAGCACCTGCAACAGGGACAAAGGTGACAACACTCTGTCCTCGTCTCCCAACTACTCTCTCGCATTGTCACCCTGTTGCACAGGATTGCGATGGGGACTACAAGTTGCCATTCTAACATACATGGATGGTCCGCTCTTGTCACCATCGGAAAACCCACCCTGAGAAGTGCCATGCAGCCATCACTGAAGTGCATGTGGACAGGAAGTGGCTGCAAGAGATCAGCAGCAGCAGTGAGGTGTAACGATAGAGAAAACAATGGGGGTAATTCTTCAAAACTGGAGCAGCTGTGCATGGCAACCAATAAGCATCTACCTTTCATTCTCAATGCTGATTAATTGCCATGGGCAACTGCTCCAATTTTGATAAACTCCCCTCCCCCCTCAGTATGTTTTATATAAGCCACTTGTTTATAATGTACAGTCCCTCAGTTAGGAATGATATCTACATAAACCGTACATGTTTCAGAAGTGACTGCTGTGCTTTTAGGACAGGATTGATTGCTGGGATCTGTAGTTCCGCACCAACTATCCGGCAGCAGGAAGCCTATGACTGAGCAGAAGGTAACAAGCACAATACGTGGCACAGCTCTATGGATAAGAAGAAGTATATAAAAACAGCAGTTTATTACCCGCACCTGCTCCACCGCGTCCCCCACCATCTTGTAATCGCCCGGCGGAGCCATTCTCTTCCTCACCGTGACTCAGGACCGGAAGCGGGACATCGGCAAATATGCTGTGACGTACTTCCGACCTCCCTGCGATGGTCAAAGACATTTCCCTGAAGCCGACTGTCTACCTGAGGAGCTCATGTGCCACAGCGCCACCACGTGTGCGGAGGCGGAACTGGTGAGTGCGCCCTCCAGCCAGGCTGTAATCTGTTGTAGCAGATGGTTGGGAAGCATGGCATGGCTCCCCAAGGTCTCTCTTTACCCCTCAGTATGCATGTAGCATTTCTACAGATCACACTGCAACACATCATGCTGAGTTGTCACTTTGTACACTCCAAATAAAGTTTAGAAAGAAGAAGTTATAACTAGACCATTAATCAGGTTATAACTAGACCATTAATCCTCATTTTTAAGGACTCCTTAATGACTGGTGGGATCCCCAGTGATTGGCGGAGGGCTACGGTAGTCCCAACAGTGTAAGGCGATGAAACAGCGCATCAAACTGCTGGACCTCACTTAGCACGCTTACCCCAGGGACGTCCCTATAATATGGCAGCCAGTCGCTGTTGGCTGAGATGGCATCTCTTTGGGTCACATGGGGGGGCGCCCCTTTTCTGCCCAGAGTGTCCCAGGTTGCATAGACCACACACATCTCCCCACCCAGCTCTCAGCGACCTGGGACACTCTGGCCGGCATCCCGCTCAGCTCCTGGCAAGCAGTGATGTCATTGGTTGCCAGATGATGCAGAGGCAGAGGCCATCATATCCTCAGCTGTAATGAAACTGCTAATCCCTTCATTCCTCTGCCTGTGGAAGTCACAGCTGTGGCTGTCAGAGTCCTGCAATGCCTCGTGGGACTTGTAGTGTCACCACATCTGGAGGGCCGAAGTTTGGCCACCCCGGCTTAATGGGAACCAAATCCCTCTGTCCCTCTTTCTGGTTTGATGTATAGACAACTATATAAAATTTTAGGATTTAAAGTACATGTCAAGGCAAAAACAACCTATGTGGTACATCTCTATAATACATTTCACTTCCCCATGTTTTTATCCCTTTATAGACACTGCACGTATGGAAAATTACCTGTTGAGCTGTCAGAAATGCACTTGGCTCTTTAGCCCTGCTGTGGGCTGACAACACACAGCAATTTTGTGGACTGAGCGGTGTCAGCCCTGTCCAGTATCTTTTGCTAAATGACTCAACCTCTGCCACATCTCTACAACACAAAGTCCTTCTGTAGACCAAGATAAGAACTAGGGGGGTCTCTTTGAGATAACACAGGAAGTGTTGAGAGGGCATAGAACAGCTCTGAATTTCAACCGTTTTTTTTTTCTTTACACACAAACAGATACAACAAAACGCTTCCAATGGTGGCCTAAGATGTGAGGACGCCAACAGACATTCCATAGCCGGAGCGGAGAGGGAGAGAGGTGAGTGCCGACCACCGCAGGACCAAGGATCAGGTTATTTAAACTGTTTTATTTGACCCCCCCAGACAAAACCAACACTTAAAGACGAACTGCAGGAAATGTAAAAATGAACCCTTGCAGTAGGGCTACCCCCGCACTGCAAGTGTTAACTGCTCCTTTTGTTCTAGGGGTGAAATATATATGCAAGTGATCCTCGGTCCTGCTTGGATGCTAGACCGGTCACCTACAGCCTCTTCTCCCCCAGGCTCTGGCGGTCTAAGGACCCGTGACATCATCACCAATAAATCCAGGTCCACGAGGGACATACCCCAGCCGGGGCGGAGGAGAAGAGAGGTGAGCGGTCACTGCCACAGGACCAAGGATCGGGCCAGTATATTTTCTTTATGTTAGCCGCTATACCAAAATGAGCAGTTAACCCCTTCGGTTCGGGGTAGCCCCACTGCCAGAGTTGATTTTTACATTTCCTGTAGTTCTTCATTAACCCTTGCAGTGCAGGGGTAGCCCCACTGCAAGGGTAAGTTTTTGATTTTCCCAGAGTTCCTCTTTCATGTATGTGAACACTTTAACAACGGCGGCCATCTTCTAGGTAGGTATTAACACTCCCATGGGTGGTAATGAGCAAATGATGATCCACAATTGTCTATAAGACAATGCTTCATGCTGGGAATCCCACTACAGACCTCTACATCAAGCTGATGACATCCATGAACCGTGTGAGGGGAAGAATAATAATGGAATTTCCCAGCTGATTGCTATTATTTGCTGAATGTAATGCCTGGCACCAAAGATGTCAGTGCACCACGTAGACTGGCGTGCTCACAGGATATAAGAATATATCTCAGCCACAGATTGCTGATAAAAAAAAAAAACAATTGCTTAGCAGTCAGGCTGTTAATTCATGATCCAATCTCCATCCTGTGTTCATGGTCAGCTGAACCCACAGCCCTAAACGAAAACACATTTTACTAGACAACCCCAATGTTAAAAGTAGATATTGGATTGGCTGTTATGGGTGCAAGTTGCATGATATTAATCCAGGCAACTGTTCATGTTCCTTATTCACAAAGTTAACGAGCAAAGGCAAAACTAAAATAGATGCTGGTTGTGGAACCACAATATACGTTCCCACAGATTGAAATAGGCAGAGATGATAATTACAGATGAAGACTGGATTGAGAACATAGCAGAAGCTGTTGTGATGTTCCCGGTGGAGCTCACATAAGGATCTGGCTGACCATGAGATGACAGCAGAGTGCCGGAGAGAAGCCCAAGTTGGGTGACATGCGGAGGACAGCATTGGGCGGGATGTACCTGTGCAGTTTTGTGCTCTGCTGTCTGGGGAGTGATGTCTTTGGAGCAGGTAAGCCAAGCTTGAGGGTTTCATTAGAACTTCATCCGGGTTTATATTTAGAACTTGTGGACCTATACCTTGAGCCGCCGCGGGATATGAGGAGGCAGCACTATACCTAAAACCTTTACCATAGGCATTTTTTTTGTTAACAATCGAGGTTCTTCCTGCCATTAGTCGAGGTGAGCGTTTATATTGGGTAGTCCCTTGTAGGGGAAGAAGACCTTTTCTGTTAGCTTGATGATGTCATGGCTGTTCTCTACTGCACAATACTGGAGTGGCAAGGCTAGTGTGGGTGCTAGGCTTAGAATAGATGGGTAGATCTAAGCACTCAGATTTGGAGGGGTGGATTTTTAAGACTTCCTTAGGTGGCCCAATGAATAGGAAGGATTTTTGGGGTAAATTTAGCTACAGAATTGGAATGGATGGAATACCAGGGCCATGAAAGGAAAATTATAACCTTTTTTTGATATGTGATGTGATATAAATCTTCTTAGTAACGTGCAGGGCCCAATCATACTTGTGCATGTGTTGCTGCAAGCCATTTTGTTTAAGCACGCTGCATTAAGGGAGCCCTTTGTTTAGAATGGGTTGGCAGCACTCCTGTGCTATTTTTGGCAATTCTCCAGGCCAGGGGTAGGCAAACTCCAGCCATCCAGCTGTGGGGCAACTACAAATCCCATTAGGTATTGCAAGACTCTGACAGCCACAGGCATGACTCCTAGAGGCAGATGCATGATGGTATTTGTAGGTTCACCACTGCTAGAGGGCTGAAGTTTGCCTACCCCTGCTTTAGACTATATTGTTACCAGCACTCCATCATAGCTCAATTATGAGCTTTCCTCATTCTGTTCATGTTGCAATGAGGCAACAGGAACCATTGATAAATTGGCCTTTAGGTGGTCCTTAGGTCCTTATGTGGTTCCAAAATGTCACATCAGCAGCAATGATAAAATGCTGGTGACATTTACATATGGTCTGAATTGTAAGAAACATCGGCATCCATGATCTACAAAATTTCAGCACCCACTAGCTAAAGACTTTATACCAGGGGTAGCCAAACTCCAGCCCTCCAGCTGTGGTGGAACTACAAATCCCATGAGGCATTGCAAGATTCTCACAGCCACAGACATGACTCCCAGAGAGAGATGCATCATGGGATTTGTAGTTTCAAAACACTCCGCACATTAAACGATGTGCTGAGGCAATCCAATAATTTTGTGTGGGCTGGCGGCACATTCCAATGCTCACATATGCACCTGCACTATTTTTGGCAACATAGGTATGCGCACACCCCTGCGCACCTCTTACCTGTCAGCCCCGATCCGCTGTCATCCTTCTCCACTGCCGGGCTCCGCCTTCTCCTCGGTCGCTGGTGGGCCCTGCCGCCGCCATCAGGCCCCGGCCTCCTCCTCGCAGCTGCTTGCTGTCACTGACTCAGCAGCGGCTGTGAGGAGGAACACGCTGCTGCACAAAAACCTTGCACTGGGGCTACCCCTGCACTTCAAGGTTTAAGTGCTGATTTTATCTAGGGGGCAGGAAAAAAAAAGAAGAAATACTCACCTGATCTTTAGTCCTTCGGCAGTGACCGTTCACCTCTCCCCCCTTTGGCTGTAGTATGTCCCTCTGCATCCCTCACGTCTTATAGACTGTATTAGACTTGATGACATCACAGGTCCTTAGACCACTGGGGAGAGAGGCTGCGGGGACCAGTCTAGCAGTCAGGCGGGTCCATGGATTCGGTGAGTATTTCTTATTTATATTCTCCCACTTGACAAAGCGAGTAGTTAACCCTTCGCAGTGCAGGGCAGCCCCACTGCAAGGGCTCATTTTTTTAAATCCTGGAGTTCTTCTTTAAAGGTAACATGTGATGACCACAACCTATTTCTGCTGTTTTCCGCGTGTGTAATAAGGCTTAAGTCGATAAAAAAAGCTGTAAATTGCAGCAAGCAATTTAATTTCCTTCCCTAATTTTAATACACGTTTCACTGGTAACAATCATGCTGATTGCAGCAGGTTACAAAGTTAATTGTCGGCATTTTTATTGCTTTGAGCAAGCCAGAAGAATGACACTGAACACATTAGTTCCGCTGGCTGTATTTCCAAATGAAATACATTTACAGACTTTCCATACAGAAATAACCTTTTTACTTGTCTAGTTAACAGAAGGTACAACTATTAGATATATTATTGATACATTATATAAACATTGGCAAGGCCATTATAGGCTTTGCTTATATTGCCACCTGCTGGACAAATCATCAAGGTGCTACAATATTCTACCGTCCCAGCATATACCGTGTTTC